AGGAACCTTTAGAGGTCATCTTGTCCATGTTTTCTAGGTCCTATTAGAAAATACTATTGAACACAGGCTATCATCACATCTCTTTCAGAACTTTTGAGTAAATTTTGATGTGGAAGTCAAAGCTCCAAATTTATATACAAATACCTGAAGAAGTGTTTGACATTAACAAGGTTTCAACATGGTCTCCCATAGCATCCCTGTATCCACACTGCGATGTTAACATTTAGATGGTTAAGACCACACCACAGGTAAAAATTAGCTAGATTGTTTAGTTCAACAGGTAGTGGTTAACATCTGGAGACTGAATGCAAGAGAAGTTCCCTTCAGAGTCTGTTCTGGGACCTATCCTGTTTAATATCTTTATCAATGACCTGAACAAGAAGGTGGAATGAGCCATCATCAAGCTTGCAGATGACAGCAAGCTGCGAGATGCAATTGATACACTTGAGAGTATGGCTGCCATTCAGGAGGACTGATTGCCCGCCCCTGGGAAGACTGAGGGCATGGGCAAAAAAATATCTCATGAAATTCAAAAAGATCAAAAGCAAAATCCTGTACCTCATACAGACTAATCCACTGCAGCAGTAAGTGCTAGGGTTTGACTGGCTGTGCTAAAAAGAACATGGGAGTCATTAGTTGCCTGTATGCCTTCTCAGCAATGAAGGCTAGGCAGCATATGGAACTGTGGCAGCAGGAACTGAGCCAGAAGAACAAGGGGAAGAGATTATTCTCCTTTACTTGACATTTGTTAGATCACACCTAGCATACTGCATCTCATTTTGGACCCAAATACAACATTGATAGATCTGAGCAAGTCCAGCAGACAACCATCCAGATGGTCAGGTGGTTGGAGCATATGCACTGTGAAAGAGGCTGAGGAAATTTGGCTTGTTTAGCCTAAGAAGGCTTGTGGACATGGAGGAACCTAACACCACTTTTCAACACTGAGAGCAGGTTATCAAAAAAGACTGAGCCAGGCTCTTCACTGAGGTGCACAACAGAAGAAACAAAAGACAACGGTCAAAACTTGAAACCGGACATTCCACATGGACTAGAGGCATAGGAAAACAGGAACCACATGAAAAGCAGAAAAAAAAAAAAAAAGTACACTGTGAGAATAATTAAACATTGGAACAGGCTACCCGGAGAAGTTGTGGAATTTCCTGCCTTAGAGGTTTTCAAGACCTGAGTGCATAAAACCTTGAGTAGGAAAGTCTTCATAGCTGACCCTCCTTTGAGGAACAGGCTGGGCTAGATGTCTTCCTTAAGTCTCTTCCAACTTGAATGGTTGTAAGATTCTAAGACAATGGGATGACTTTTGCAGAAAGCATGCATACAAGATATAGTCTTGAAACATTAAGCTCTCTATGGATTTCTAAAGCATATTTGAGTACCAAGAGTTCTTCTGCTTTTTTCATACTCAAAATTTAGTTGCCAAGGTAACATGTTCTGACTTGGAGGTTCTCTCCAGTGGTATTCCAATTTCTATAGACTAAAAGCAGCTATTACCCTTTATTCAAAGGCTCATACATTTACTCTCTCTGATACAAATATATTCAATGGCACATTCATACATCTGAATTTAAAAGACATGTACTTTAATCCCTAATTATTAATTTAGAATCCAAACCCACACATCTAATGACTCAGTTTTTAGGGGTAGAGCCATTCATGTCATTCTGCAGTCATGGTGTACAGCCAGCCAAAAGAAAATGCTTCCGGAAATTTTTTTCTGTTAGGCGGGAGGGTGAGATCAAGGGAGTTTTCAAGCAAGCAAACAACAGGAAAACAGGCAATGAACACAGTTCAATCGGTTCTGGAAGACATTCTGTTTAAAAAAAAAAAATCTCTTGCTTTCATTAAGATGAAATACTAAGACTTTTTGCTCTAATATATGTTTATATGTAATTTGATTTCTGTACAAGTCATAGAGTGCTGGTGATAAGTAAAGAGACCACTGTCACCATCTTTAGCATTGCACAGTACAGGACACATTCTTAGACCCTTGCCAAAGCTGTAGCTGCCCCACAGTAAAACTTCACTTCCCCACTCAACGGGGCATCTTCCCCTTCACTGTCTGTGATCTGCAAGAGATGCGGCTGCAAATCAAAACACTTGTTGTTCTAGGCAGAACAGAAAAAGAAAAAGATGACATAGTGCTAGCATTTTTGTCTCTAGGCAATGCAGGTAGCCTCCTCTGTCAGAAGATACAACAATATGATGATGTTTATTATTGTTGTTCTTTAAGGCTAGCTATTCATCTTGTTTATACTATTCATACAGGAAAGCTGACAAAGAAAGATGAAATTCTGATCCTATGTCTGTACAATGCAATACCATATAAATCACTATAAATATATATCACATATAAATCAGCCTATTAGTTTTAAATTACATAAAAAACAAAACAAAACACCACCAAACATTAATTTGCTCTACACACTTGCCAATTACACAATTATGATTTCTTGGCAACCAAAAGTCTAGTTCACCTAACACATTATTTAATAACGAGACTTACTACTAAAAATTTTCTGCTCTAAAATAAACACTAGCATAGTATTTAATATAGGAAATTCAATTTTTTTGCATCGACTTGAAAACATAGTATGATTCACCAATCGAAAGATAGCAGAAAATGGTAAGATATGAAAACAGAGACTATGAACTCAGAAACTATGCATTTCAGTTAATATATTCTTCCCTTACTCCTTCATGTGGCCAAAGCTTCTGCTGCTACTTAACTTTAAAGTGGCATGAAAATTATGTAATTACATTTTCAATTACCTCTTTAAAGAAATCTGAGTACTGTCTCTTCCTAGTTTTCTACTTGAGATGCAATACTTATCCGAATATTAAAAACACCAAACTCAAAAGCATAAAACATTGAGTGTGGAAAGCAGCCAATTATATTTAACTTGCTTCACACACTGAGAACAATGCCAGACTTGCATTATGCATAACACCTATAGCTAGTACACAGACAAAACAGTACTTCTGTTAGTTTAGAGATTTGCCTGGATGTCTGATTTATCTTCTAAGTTTTATAACCATCATAACAATGCCACAAGCCAAAACCAAAAAACACAAAAGAAACTGCCAGTCACATACCTATATATACATGGGTCTCTGCTGCAAGCCAGTACCTCACCTGGGAATTCAACCTTTGCTCACTAGTACTCTAACCTCAGAAACCTTTAATTTTTTTCATTGTCACAAAGAACACAAATTAAGTCCCTGACAACATATTCTAAATTTATGAATAACAGGAAGCCATTAAGACAAGATTTTTTATGTCTGATTTTATGAAACAAAAAAGCCGTTTACAGTCAATCATAAGTTGGCAAAAAAATATTTTTGTCTTCACCTGTGAACGATCCTGCTATTTCCAAAGTTTTCACATTAGCCGAAAGTTTGTTCTTTGTCGGTATATAGACATTCACTGTAGATATAACCCAATGAACTTCAATCCAGATCTAAATACATTCATTAATCCAACACTGTAAAGCAATATTCAGGTTACTGTACCCTTATTATACACTCCATGTTCAAGTAAGAACTGGTACTAATTGTGTAGTGAAAAGGACACCTGGCTGACTTGAGATGATGGCTTTCTTCAATAACTGTTTCTGTTTTCACAATGAGGTGGATATGAGGAACTGCACTTACTTTGACCACAAATGAGGCTGCAATTAAATTTCTATTTTAATATAAGTATATACCTTTAATCTTACAATTTGACTATTACTATTATTATGCTTCTGAAATGTAATATTTTTGGGAATTGTAGTGCTGTATCTCGACATATAATTCACACATTTAATTTTTAACTTGCCCATTATACTGAAGTAAGAAGCCAAATGACAACTACTAAACTAGTCCCCTAATTACCACTGTTTCCAAATGTCATATATTCTAAAGAAAATAACTATGCCCAGCAAAAGTTTCACTGTGTGCTGGGTTTCTGTGGCGGGCTTTTTTGGTAGCAGGGGAGGGGACTCTAGAGGTGGCCCCTGTGAGAAGCTTCCTGAAGCTCCCCCAGCTCCAAGTTGGACCTGCCTCTGGCCAGGGCTGAGCCAATTAGCGACAGTGGCTGATCCTCTGCAAGAACTTATTTAAGAAGCAGAACCTGAGAGGGAGTTGGGATTTTTGAGGCGGTGTTACAAGAAAGATGAACACCCAGGTCAGTGGAAGGAAGGAGAAGGAAGAGGGGGAGGTGCGCTGGAGCAGAGCCCCCTGTATCCTGTGGTGAAATGGCAGAGCCGCCCCCCTGACACCCATGGAGGTCCGTGGTGGGGCAGGGGCTGACCTGCAGCCTGTGGAGGAGCCCACAAGAGAGCAGGCGTCTACACTTAAAAGAAGCCGGGACTCTGAAGCGAGAAGCAGCCCCCTTTGCTGTAGTTTGGCGCTGGGAGGACTGCAAACACGTGGGGGTGACCCATGCTGGATCAGCATGGGAACGGCTGCATCCCATGGGAAGGACTCACTGAGGAGAAGGTTAATGGAGGACTGTCTCCAGTGAGAGAGGAGCCACATGGCGCAGGTGAAGAATGCGAGGCATTCACCCCACCTCCCAAGAAGGAAGGAGCAGCGAGCTGACTGTAACCCCCATCCCCTGCTGCCTGTGCTGCTGGGGGAGGAGGGAGAGAGATCAGGAGCAGAGCTGAGCCCAGAAATAAGGGATGGGTAGGGGGAGGTGGTTTTGGATGTGGTGGAGCTTCTCACTGTCCCACCTTGTCTGTTAAGTGTTGTCTTTGTCAGCGTTTGAATTAAAGTGATGGGTTTTTTTAATTCCCCTAATGAGTCTGTCTTTTGCCTGTGAAGTAATGAACCCCTCCCAGCCCTTATCTGGATTCCAGAGCCATTCTGCTTCATTTTCTCCCTCCCATTCCTGACAGGGGGAATGGGTGAGTAAATGGCTTCATGGTGCTCAGTTGGCCTCTAGGCTCAAATCACAATACACTGTCGCCCTTAATTTATAGAAAAATAAACCCTCTTACCGTATTGATCCAATCATGTAGGGCTGTGCTAGCTGTACTACAATAGCTCCACTCCCAAGCTGATGGCACGTGTATCCAGAATCCCAATCATAGTTTTTTGTGTCTCCATTCAATAAGGCATTGCGACTGCGACTTACACCCTCAATCACACTGGCACAGTCTGCAATTGTTGCAACATTTTCAGTGGGAACTGTGAATTAAAAGCACAAAGACAACAGTCATAAGTTAGAAAACAGTTCAAATACCAATGGTCTTTATTTCTGGCAAATAATTAGGAAAAAGAAGGACGAAAGTATGATCAACACAAGGAAATTTAACTCTTATTTAACATGAACTATGAAGCAGAATCAAGTGGTACAGATAATTTTTATATCATTCATCCCAGAATAGCTTGGTAAATTAGCAGATGGCTTTCTGTCTTGGTGACATGAAAGCACTATTTTTATACAATTGGAGAAAAGAATGATCTTGTCCGGCAAAACTTTTGAAATTATCAAATAATTTCTTCCTGTTTTCATGATGAAAACTTCCCACACAAACCCTCTCTCCCCTCCTCCCCCCCAAAAAAAGGGAAATAGAGATAAAGAAAGAAGTGGGAGATAGTTGAAAGCACTGATGTGGACTGTGGGAAGTCAGGACTCAAAGTCTTCGAAACAAGGGCTTGAAGTCTCACAGCTCAGCATGTACCTCTTGGTACTTACGACAGTCTCTCTGACTGTGATCAGAAATTGCACCCCAGAATTTAGAAAATGCTTTTTAATATGTACAGAATCCTTCAGTACAAATATTGGACTACAAGAGGGAAGGAGAGACCAGTAGGTCTGCCACACCAATGGCACAGCAAGAGCAGAAGTATTTCTTATTCCGTCAAGAGACAGGAAAAAGGTATGACTGACTGCCACAAAAAAGAAGTTGTAATATCCCAATATCAAAAGAAATGAAACAACTTAAAATCCATCCTCTTGAAAAAAGGCCAAAACAGATAAAGACTTTCTTCCAGGAGGTAGTGATGGAATTATACAGTACTTCCCCCCCATTAATTTAATCAAAGATCTTTGCTGGATAATTATTTTTTCTATCCTATATGCATTCACAAAAAATGCCAGCATGCGGTAGCCTGCTATGCCAAAGAAAAGTCAAAGGTATTACTACAGAATATAAAATTTTCTTTCTTTCATTCATCTTATATACAGTTATTTGAATATTAGAGGGAAAATGAGCAAAATAGGGAAATCAAAGAATTTTCAGATTTGTAAAAGCATTCATGGGAAAATCATGACAAGAGGAAGGGAGTTTCAGTAAAAAAATGTAAGATTACAATTCTAATTGCACAGGCCAGAGATAAACTGCTATCTTTTGCTGCAACATCTATCATGAACTCTTTCTTTCACCTCTACAACCCCTCTTACAATCAGTGTATATATTCAACACTGTGTTCCATGTGTCAGCATCATCTAACTTCAGTTCTTCCTTCTCCTGATACATCCAAAACTGAATGTTCTAGCCTGGGAACTGCTGTTTATAAACCAAATTAGATAAAGGATAATATAACCCCTTACTAGGCATTTTTAGAAGCAGAGGAACATTACATACTTGGCAATAAAAAAAAAGGGTAGTGTTGGGAGTTGTTATTCTTTAGCAAAGGATGTAACTTTAGTGTTGGTTTCTAGAAAACTTTCCAAGGAGAGGAATGCTCTTCTTGTACTTACTTATTCCTGCTTAATCTGATTTATATCCAATGCTAAACAGTTTCTCCCTTCCTTTCAAATCAAACTGAATTCATAGTATAGTTAGAACTTGACATAAATTCAGCAAATTCATCAAAGATCAAGACAACAGCAACTCCTCTGGGAGCATGCTGTAAGGAGGATGTGTACTTTCTTGTGCATGGAGTACTTTTCCAGCACAGTTTTACAAGTGCTTCAACACTTATTTTTGGAATTGCCTATTATTTCCCTGTGCTAACATTTAATCAAGCATGCTACTTCTTTTCTGTTTGTAATTCAGAGAAAATCCCAAGCTTTTTGAATGTCACCTTCCAGCAAGATGACAGATGAACATAAAAAAACCCAAAACTATGTAAGATGCCCTAGTCAGGTCCAGAACTTTCCTAAAAAGCTCAGTTTTTAGCAAACCTCCTCAACTTTTCAAACTCTCTCTATTCTCTCTCTCAACCAAAAAAATAACATTAATAAGACTAAAAAGTTATGCTCTCTGAACATGTAAAAATCAAGGTTGCCTGTTGAACCTTTTTTTTGGGTGGGGGAAAATGTTGAAAGCACTGATTGCTTTATCTAAATGATATCAAAAATTCTTCCAGCACAGGCTGGAAAGCTAAGATATTGTGTGCCAAACCCTGATGAAGGCCAACCAATCTGTGTGGTAATACAATTTAAAAGAGAAAGGAAGCAATTATTTACAAAAAGTTATCTGAATGACAGTGATCAATTTAATAAAATTTCCAAATTCGCAGAATCTCATGCCAAACATTTTTGAAAATCAGAGTAAGAAACAAGCCAAAATAAGGATGGCACAAAAAGAATTAGAAATATAGAAGACTTAAAGCCAACATTATCTTAAATTTCACAAGAATAAACCTGATGTATAGTACAGATGTAAATGTATCATTTTAGGCCCCATGCACACTGATAACTTAATTACATGCTGAAATATAGCTATGTGAAATTTCAGAGCTAAATGTAAGAGTCTCTAGCACCCCAAAAAAAGATAATTTTCCATGAATAGCTAGGATTCTGTGTTTTAAGTGTGCTAGTGGTGTCAGGAGCATAGTCTTAAGAAAACCATCAAGCAACCAAAACACCATAAAGTATACAGGGGAGAAAAGTGCAAACTTGTTGCCAAGAAATAATTCAAGGCAGTGGAAAAGTAACAGTTTCTGAAAAATCTACGGCATTATCAAATGTACTACCATCTCTGCTCATATGAAAATTACTAAACCCACCATATTATTATTCTAGAAACCTCTTGATTGCCTGTTACTGAAAAGAGACATTCAGAAATTCATGGATTGTTATGGGGGAGCAGGTGGTAGATATTAGAAATACTTCACTGAAAACAATCAGAATAAACCAAAGAATAACAATGCAAACTAACAAAATATTTTTCCTTGGCTTCCTTTTCTTCCCCTCTTCCCTGGCAGTAAGGGAACTCAATTTTGAGTATCCACTTTATATAGGCATTAAAGCATCTGCTATATACTGCTGCTTTTTGTAGGAAGAGGAAGCTACTGAAATCTTGGTTAAAAAAAAAAAAAAAAAAAAAGATGAAGTGTCAAAATCACACTGAGGCTCTATGGCATATTTTAGGCACCCTCTGAGCTATATAAGGCATTAATTGAATACAGTACAGCTCAGCTCATCCAGTATTTTACCTGCATGCCCTCTGAGCATCATCCTGCTCCTTTTCACATTTAGATTTCTGCATTAATTTGTGACCTCCTAAGAAGATGTTACCCTGATTAGTCAAATTCCTTAACAGCCGCACAGAAACTGTCTTAGTTTGTTTTTAATATAATTCTGTGGTCTTCCCTACAACGGTTAATTAGAAAATTATTCTAACTAATTGCAGTGTGCAGAAGGTGCCATACTGTTCCTTCTCTCTAGGGGAGTCTGCCACTCCCTATTTTGAATGTTCATTATCATCTTTTATATCTGCTTGATAAATTTATTAAAAATACCATCTGGTGGGGACTCTGCTCTGTGCCATTTTCAAGTTTTCTGGTTCTCTTCCTTTTTCCCTGATAGAATTTTTACTTCAATTTAGGTCACTTGTTTACAAAGACACATTGCCAAAACCAACAGTCTTGTTTCTATTTTCGTTTCTTTTTGTTTTTTAATCCACCAGCTATCCAGCTTTTACAGTAACCAATGTTACAAGAGAAAACAAAAGAGGGGATTACAAATACAGAAATTCTTTTCTTCCACTGTTCATACAGCAGTTCTGCTCTGACAAATCTGGTTTGCTTTTATGGAAAAGATGTGCATTAGCAAAGCTACACATTCTGTACACAAACAAAAGGAGAAGATGATTGAGGTTACAGGACAGCAGAATCAAAACACTTATTAAAACTCACTTTCTTGTTTCCTGGTCTTACGCTGCAGTATGGAGCGATGAACAGCTTGGGAGTGTATTTAATTCTAGTAATAATATTTTTATAAAGGATTGTGATTTTCAAGGCATGGCCTGAAGGCCATCTATACTGGCTATATTTAAAGATATGACAGATATGTTATTCAACTGTCCTTAGAGATCCCCTAGGAGAAAAATGTACTAAGAGTGTGTAGTAGCCTCAGTCATATTTAGCATTCCTTTAAGCTTTTTTTTCTTTTCCTTCTTAATTTTTAGCATACTTGATTTTCCCTAGGATTTTTTTTTCCCCTGAAGTACTTGTTAACTGGCTTCCATATCTGAGTGTAAAGTAATTCCTTTCATCTCCTAGTTTGGACATGGCAGCTTTTGCTTTCTGTCCATCCACTGTAACTACGCTGCTATCAGTTGGCTAACATGGGGGAAAAAAATGACAGAAAATCCTCAAACAACTCTTTGCAACACAGGAAGGAAGAGAACGGAGTGGGTTCCTGCACCAGGTCACAAAATCCGCCATTAATGAACCTTAGTTCAGTTACTAAAATAAATATACAGAGAGACACTAGATCTACTAAATAGTTACATTTTATAGGAAGGCAGCAATTTAAAGCATTATGGACCGTTGAATATATTTATACGGCACTCTAGGCAACAGTCAGTCAAAGGTTCTCAGCCAAAGTGTCATCATTACAACACAACTGTTCATTTTACTGAATTCTCCTAAGACACTTACAAAACCATCACTCTGTGAAGAAACTCTACACAAGAAATTATACTGAAAGAAATAAATTTTTGTTTTAGTTAATGCAAAGAAGTGATTTTTCTCTCATGCAGACATCTGTTAAATGGTCAACTTTCAGTCACTCCATTTTTAATGGTAAAATTGCATCTCTTCTGTACCTGAACATCTACTGAGCTGACAAAAGTTTCCTCACTAGAAAGTGACAGAAAAAAGAAATCTGAGAGAAAAAAAAAATTAGAGATGTCACTATTATTCTAGGGTTTGATTTTATTGTATTAAATAATTTTAATTATGTTTGGCATTTTGCTGTCATTATTTTCCATATGCCTAAAGATTTAAGC